TGGGTTTCTGATTGCTGGCAAACTCGTCTTTTTAAAGAACTCTAGTCTTTCAGCTGAAGTCAAGCTTCAGTAAGATTTGTTCTCCAAAGGCATGAGTCCATGGACAATTCTGGGATATTGCCTATCCCAGAAAGCCATTATCCGAAGCATTGCCTTCAGTTGGCCCTGTGTTTCGAATACCCATTTTTAAGAAATAAAGAAATTATTTATTCAGCTGAAGCCATACTTCAATTTCTGGGGGGGGGGGCAAGAAGCACTACCAGTGCAAGTTTATGTTCAGCAGAATTGAAGAAACAGTAAAGCACTCAAAAACAAAGCAGCTGAAGAAAAGAACATCAAATTAATAATTTATGCTCAGAAATTGAGCTACAAGTTCAAATAAGTTAAGAAACTATATCGGCAGCCGCCCACAAGCGGAAAATAACAGCTGCCGAAATACGTACAGAAGCAAAAAAATAAACTGTTTTGTACGACAAGGCAAGCTGAAGCAAAAAACAAACAAGGCAAAAATTCAGAAAGCGGCAAGTCTAAAGTTGAGCGCATGATGAACCGCAAGATTCTGAAGACGACTGCCCGAGTTCCTATGCTTCAGCCCGAGGATCAGACTGGTCAGCATTGTTGGGCCCCATGGTGGTCTCAGCCCCAGCAGCAGAAGAAGCAGGCTTTGCACTCTGCCGAGCCTCCCTTTCCCTCTGTTCAACCTCCAACTCCATTCTCTCAGCTTCTTCTTCGGCTTCCTCAGCCTTAAGGATTTCAGCTTCGACTGGAGTTGCATACTTCATATGAGGGTCTTCGGGATCCTGGACCCATTCAGCACATTTGGACCAGTCCAACTTCGGCTCAGCATGAAGGCAAACTCTTCGGCACACTCTGAACCCGTTTCTGAAACCCATTTCATATTCTTCCTGGGTATAGACACGGACTTTGAGTAGAGCCTCAGCATCAGCCAACTTCTTCTGGGTCTCCTCCAAGTCTTCCTTGGATTTCTTCAGCTCATCGGCGAGCTTGAAGGAGGAACCTTTTAGCTCATTCAGCTGCTGCTGAACTTGGGAAGCCTCTGTCTGGGCCTGGGCCACTTCTTCCTTTTTGGCCATCAGCTGATCCTCAGCTTCTTGGAGCTTAGCTCTCTGAGCTTCAGCAGCAGCAGCAGCCTCTGAGAGTTGGACATCCCTGGCTTGGAGCATCTCTTCAGCAGCCATTCTGTTGGCTTCAAGAGCTTCTAGCCGTTGCTGCACTTCAGCTTGTGCAGCAGCTCCTTCCTGGATTCGGCTCTCAATGGTAGCCTTGAATTTGGAGATGTCCACTCCCATGTGCTCTTGGAGGAATTTTTCCCCTTCCATCAGTGGGGGAAAAACTTCCTTCTCCATAGCATCGCAGAAGGTTTTGAAGGCTTCAGCAGCTTTTTTCTCATATTCTTCACCCTTCTGATGCTTCTCTTCAGCTGCTGCTTGCTTCAGCTTAGCAAGCTTTAACTCCTCTTCGGCTACCTTTTTGTCGTGCTCGGCAGCGTCTACCCTATCTTGTAGGGTATCTATCAGCTCTACAGTGAGAGTCTGATTGTGCACGAACTGAAAACAGGAGCACAAATTAAAATAAAAAATAGAGCTGAATTTTAGAGGAGATAAAGGCAAGGAAAATCACCTGCATCATCAGCAGTTGGTTAGACCTGGCTGGGTCAGGAACTGATCTGCTGGATTCGCCCATCCCAACAGTGGCCTTCAGCGACCAGATTCTTGCCCTATCTACTTCGGACGTGCCAGCAAAATCGCCGAAGTAGGCTGCAGCACCTTCTCGGTTCTGACCCCATATGAGGTCCCAAATGTGATCTGGGATTGGAATTCGGGGGGCCGAGAAACCCATTTCTCCAGATTGCAGAGTCTGGAAGGAAGGAAAGGATGACGACGGAGCTTCTTTAACTTTGGATGGCTCAGCATCCTCCTTCTCAGAAGAGTCAATTATTATGACCTCTTCTTCTTCAGGGGTGAGGACGAAGGCCTCAACCTCTCTTGCAATGTCTGCCGTGAAACCCTCAGCACTGGGCATCACGACATCCTCATTCTTGTGCTCAGCAGCACTCTCTTGAACTTCTTCTTGGACCCCTCCCTTAGGTTCGGGAGTTTTCTGATCCACCTCCATCTCGGGAGGTGGCAGAGGGGTCTTTGGAGGTGATTGAGGTGGTGGCCGGGGAACCCTCGGCGATCCATTGCCTTCCTCGGGTTCCCTTATTTCGACGCCGATGGTCATCGGCCTCCGCTGAAAGTCATGGGGGCCGATGATGGCCATTCTTCGGCGCCTTTTCTGAAGCGGCTGCTCGTCCATGTCTGAGTCTGAGGACTCTTCTTGTATCTGGTCTTCGGGACGAATAGGGGCTTTCCCTTCTCTGTGTCTATTACTCTCTTCAGACTGTAAAAGACAGGGGGGGAGGAAGAATGTGAAAAAAAAAAACAAAACAACAAACAGAAACAGAAACAGACAAAATTAAGTCTGAAAGCTCACCGAGGTCTTCAGCAAAGCCTCGTCTTCTTCAGCTGCCCTAGCTGCAGCTTCTTCTTCAGCAGCCCTTGAGGACCCTTCTCCTCCTTCACAAGCTTCAATAACCCGTGCAACCTCTTCGGCCGTACGGGCAGCTTCAGCTTCTTCGTCCAGCAGCTGAAACCAGGGATCTCTCTTCTTCCACTAAGGCTACTGCCTCTGATACAGAGCAACAGCCTCAATTTGGAAATGGGAAGAGTCTAGATGAACTTCTCTATGCCTCGGTTCAGTGATAGAGGGGGCCCGATCAGTTACAACTCGTTCTCGGTTGACGCCAAGACGAGTGTAGTTAATGCCGACGTTGGTCTCGTCCCGCTCTGAAAAAGAAAAGGGGAAAGGTCAGTTCAGTTAGGTTGGCACAGCATAAAAAAGCGAAGTGAAAGAGGAGAAAAAGAGATAATTAAAAGGCCTCGGCCCCAGCCGAAGAAGCTTACCATCCTTAAACTTTCGGCTGAGGCCGACAGCTGCTAGCATGTTCTCTTGGAAAACATAATGCGTATCGGGGAGCCAAGTCTCCGGGATATGCTGCATTCGGCCGCTGCCCCCCCGGTTCGGCAGCTTGCCGAAGATATTCTGTTGATTAAGGTTCGGATCTGGGCCGTTATCTGCGGGGGGACCTAAACTTCCCATGTTGGGATCAGGCTCAGCAAGGTACCGGGGAGCGCTGAAGACGCAAGGGTGGCCCGGGTCCGTGGGTGCCCTAACCCAAATCCATTGACCTCTCCAGTCCTTGTCTGAAGAGTCGTTCGGCCACATGGTTAGGTACTGGGGCCGAGACTCAATCCGGTACCACCCAGAACCATGACTTCCGTGCCCACTTTGAATATTTGGCACTAGCCGATGAAGCTTTTTGAAGCAGTGCAGGTTCGGCACATACCTGAAGAACTTGCAGACCCATAAGTATGTCATCACCCTTCGGATGCTAATAGGAGTTAGCTGACATAGGGAAATATTGTAATGGATCAGCAAGTCTTGGACGAATACGTCCAAAGGGAACCTCAGCCCATACTGAAGTTGTCTTGTGTACACCCCCACATACCCCGGGGGTGGACGATGGATTCTATCGGATGCCACGGGCATTCGGCACCAATATCCATCAGCTTCAAGGATGCCGTAATGCAACTCAATTTGTTCGGCAAACCGATACTGTTCGGCATTCTCCACCCACCATGAGTAGGGGCGGTTCTTTATCATGGCCGAAGCTACTTCGGCATCCTCCCACTCTGAAAACCCGGGAAGGATATCCCAAAGGACAGCGGGAACTTCATCATCCCGCCCAGAAGCGCTCGGCCCCTCCGTTCTCTGAGGAGGAGCCGAGGAAATTGGAGTCGCCCTAATCCCTTCAGCAGGGTCAGACTCTGCTCTTTGTCCATTCCAGGTCCCAATCCTGTTCCTGGGATCGGGAATTGGCCTTGCTCTTCTTGGAGCACGGGCTCTACCCCTAACTCCTCTCGCCATTGATAATTTCGAAGAAAAAAGTCGAAAAAAAAAGGGAAGGAGTTCAAATTCGAAGAAAAATAAACTAAAATCAAAGGAATTTACCTTAATCTGAAGCGAAAGTTGCCGATTTACGAATTGGTAGTGGCAAGTCTCAGTTTCTAAGCTTAATGCTCGGGGAATTTGCGAAGTTTTGATGCGGGTTCTTGGGTTCTCTCGAGAATTCTGGGTTTGTGTTGGTGAATAAGTGAGGAGAGATGACGCGCCTCTAATTATATCTCCAGAAATGGGAATACGGGGAGTCCGCATTTCAATTTCTCTTAAATACCCCACTAAGTAACCGTTAAACACACGACCTTGCGATTAAACTGCCCATTATCCGTCCAACTTCCACAATTATCCGCCTTAACTGTTGTTATCTCATTAATTACGGTTTAATTACGGTTTAAATTCAAATTTTTGGATTAATTAAATCATTCACTTCCCTCCTTTTCTGATTAAATCAAACCCGACCCGTCATCCTTCCAAATCGGGTCTGGGGTGCAAGTTGTTTGGGTCCAATTTAGTCCAATTGGGCTTAGGCATTAAATGATCCAATTAAAAGCCCAAGGTCAAGGTTCATCTCTCCAATTGTGCTAAAGTCAAAGATCAGTCCTCAAGGCAAGCCAATTGGGCTAAGGCCCAACTTCTCCATGTATATAGAGGTATAAAAGCCATCAATATTACATTTGTACATTCATTCAAGCAAAGCCTCAAGCAATTAATTCTCTTGCATAGTGTTCTCTTTCTACGCACTGTACTGACTTTAGCATCGGAGGGGCCTTCCTCGGCAACACCCCCGAGGCTAGTTTACGTGTGTTTACTGTGCAGGAAACCTTCGGCCCAACATTACTTGGATCGAATCTAGTCTTCTCCACTTCATCGGACCTTCGACAAGGTCCCATTGTTTTCACCCGAAACAAATATTTTAGACTTTATTTATCAGAAATTTATGTGCTAATTAAAGTTTGAAATTCTATGAATGTGTCTAGGATGGGAAGGAAATATGGAGAGACAAAAGGCATCAATTGTGCCTCCTCAAATGCCTGTGGGCGGCATGATTCGATAAGCCTCACGGACAATAAAATGGAGTATGAGAAATTGTCTTTGCAGTCTATGTATAATACTCGTATATACGGGGTATATTGTATGATAAATATATACTCGGTATATGTTGTATGTAGTTTTAATTTTCATTGATATACTCCTGGCCTATCTCAATTTCTGTATTTATGCATTGCTTGTGTATGTCCATCATCCACTTATACAAGTATATGGCTAGTCCACATATAATGAATGCTCAAAAAATATTTTACTTTAACTAAGTGAACAAAGTGATTATTACCATTTGACATCAATTGTATAATTGATTTCTATCGTGTTACATTGTTAGAAATTTGAGAGAATTCAATCCAGGCCACTTACAAGCCTAAAGGATATTCTATACTAAAATCAATTGGACCAATATACGATTGGTAACAATAAGTGTAATTGCTCTGAAACGTAAAGTGATAATTCAATCCAGGCCACTTACAAGCCTAAAGGATATTCTGTACTTTCTTCTTTCTCTATTAAGAATTTGAACAAGAAAAATTCACATGTGAATAACAGCTCTGTACTCAAAACATACAAAGTACGAATTAAAATATCATCAAATTAAAGAACTATGGAGTATGACTCAATTTTCATACATTATGTATAAATCTAATATCATATTATATCATTAATATATAAAGTCGGTCTTGCAGTCAGGTCACGAGACATCAACACTTAGCATTTCAGTTTTTCGCCACGTGTCGTGCCATGTAGGTGACCAATAGGTATTGTGACACATATGGTGCTAAATAATTGAATTTTGGTAGACTTTTGAAGATAAAAATGTTGTATAGAGTTTTATTATTGATACACTACTAATATTTTATATATACAAAACTAGATAAAGCCCGTGCGATACACGATTTATTTGTATTTTTCAAATAAAATATTTTACTAAATATATATTTATCTAATAAAATTTGTGATATTCGCTTGCTTTGAATTTTTTTTATTATAAAATGAATTATTAACCTTTTTTTTCCTCATATTTAGATAAAATTCGTAATATAAATAGATAATATTTTATTTTACAAAATTTCGTATGTGGCTGGTCACACCGTGTGGTCGGAATTACTTGGTCAGGAGTTACTTGGTTTATCAAGGGTTACTCAATCGATCAGAGGTTATTCGGTAAGTGTTTGGGAGTGTCTCATCCAGCCTTACGATATGACCAGCCACACAAAAAACGCGCTAATTTTATTTTTTTATAATTAATATAAATTTTGTTTTGAAAGAATAATTAATATAAATTTTTTGTTCTAAAATAAATTGCAATTTTTTTTTTCATTGGCTAAAATATAACATTTTCCTATGTGACGCTCTAAAATTAATCTTACGTGGCATAATCCTATTGTGGCGTTTTAAAATATTAATCCTACGTGGCGCTGTTTTATTATAATCCTGCGTAGCGCTTTAAAAAAAACTAATCTTACGTGGCATAATCTGATTGTAGCGTTTTAAAAATATTAATCCTAAGTGGCACTCTAATAATTTTTTAAAAAATAAAATCCTAGGTAGTGCTCTAAAAACTCGGGAAAAAACTCCCCTTTATATATATATATATATATACTAGTCTTGTGCCCGGATAGTTGATAAAATTTAAGATAACATTTTTACTTGAATGTTAATAAATACAGTCATATAATCCGTTATGATAATGTAGGATATTTAGACATACGATATCATATGGCTTATATTTATATAATAGTGTACTTTTTGTAGTTTTATTTGTAAATAAATATCTATGTTATTATTGACTTGAAATTACTTATATTGAGCTTAAATTATTTTCACTGAAGTTAAAGTATTTTTACCAAACTAAAATTATTTTTATAGATTAAAACTTATTTTTACTGATTCTCTATTATTTTTTTAATTAAATAACAATGCATTTTGTATGCGGGTAGCCACACCATCTGGCCGGACAAGGTAAAACTGACCGAGTAACCCTTGTAATACTAACTGAGTAACCTCTAACACTGACTATGTAACCCCTATCTATAACATTAATTGAGTAACCACTATAACACTGCTACCAGGTAACCCCTATAGCAGCCACGAAGTAACTTTTATAATAGTTGGTGACGCGGTTTGACCAGCTACATATACATAAAAGTTTGTGATTAAATATATTATAAATGGATCTTATTTTAAAGAACTTTTTAAAACGAATTTGATGATGAAAATAGAATTGAGTTTAAGATATTTATAAAAAGTTATGATTAATTTTGTATATATGAAACATTAGAATTCTATCGATAATTAAACTCTATACAACAATTTTATCTTAAAAAATCTTTCCAAAAATCGGTTACTTAGCATCATACGTGTCACAATAATACCTATTTATCGCCTACGTGACGCGATACTTGGCGAAAAACTAGAATGCCAAGTGTCACTGTCTCGTGGCCTGGCTGCGAGACCGTCTTTATTTATTAGTGATATGATATTAGATTAATCATAACTCGGCTCTATTTCCATCATAAAATTTATTTTAAAAAATTCTTTAAAATAAGATCCATTTATATATATTTAAAATAATAGAGAATCAGTAAAAATAAGTTTTAACCGATAAAAATACTTTCAATTTAGTAAAAACTAGGTTAAAATCCCATGTAATGCACGATTGTTAAATATTTTTGACAATAATATTACAAAATATAAAGTATATAAAAGATATTAAAAAATATTTCATTTGGGTATATATGGAATATGATTGTCAAACTGGAAAGAAAATACATAAGGTATAAATAGTTTACTTAAAGATTTTGCCAAAAAAAGAAGAAAAAAAGAAAAGAAAAGAGAGAAGCGAAAAAGGCGGGAAAATTTTTCACAAGGGAATGACAAATGTCATGGAAGGATTTGTTTTTAGTGAGATTAATAGATAATTTAAGTATGATATCGCACGTCTAAATATCCTACATAATCAAAAGTGATTATATGACCGTATTTAACATGAAGCCAAAAAGTTTATCGTAAAATTCAATAAACAACCTGGGCATCGTCCGGGGCACAAAACTAGTATATATATATATATATATAAAAGGGGAGTTTTTTTCCCAAGATTTTAGAGAGCCACGATTTTTATTTTAAAAAAATTATTAGAGCGCCATGTAGGATTAGTATTTTTAGAGCGTTACTTATAGGATTATGCCACGTAGGATTGTTATTTTAAAGCGCCAAGTAAGATTAAATTAAAAATTTAAATTTATTATAAAAATAAAATACTATCTTTTTAAATTGAAAATTTTATCTAAGAGAAAAGAAACATTTATTTTATTTCGTATATATATATATATATAAAAAATACTATTAAACTTAAAAAAAATAAAATTCACGTTCAATTGATATTTTAAAAAAATTGGATTAGATGAAAAAAATAATGAAATATGACAAGTGATTATAATAAAATATTTTATAAAAATATACTAATAAAAAAAATGAAATCAAGTTAAATTATATAAAGGGGAGTTTTTTCCCAAGATTTTAGAGAGCCATCTAGAATTTTGATTTTTATAAAATTATTAGAGTGCCGTGTAGGATTCGTATTTTTAGAGCGTTACGTATATAGGATTATGCCATGTAAGTTTGTTATTTTAAAGCACCATGTAAGATTAAAATTAAAAATTTAAATTTATTATAAAATAAAATACTATCTTTTTAAATTGAAAATATTATCTAAGAGAAAAGATTATTTTATTTCGTACATATAAAAAAATACTATTAAACTTTTTTAAAAAATGAAATTCACATTCAATTGATATTTAAAAAAAATTGGATTAGATAAAAAAAATAATGAAAATATGACGAGTGATTATAATAAAATATTTTATAAAAATATACTAATAAAAAAAATGAAATCACGTTTAATTAAAAAAAAATATCAGTTTTCTCTAAAAAAAAAAACAGTTTTAATTTAAATACTAAAAATAAGAAAAAATCATTGAAATTGCAAAAAAAAAATGTTCATCATTTATAATTTATTCGTATTTTCTACGTTAACAAAATAAAATTGATGAATGAAATTTTAAAATGTAAATTAATAAATATAAAATATTATCTTTTGATATTAGAAATTTCATCTAAATATATAACGAATGAGAGAAAATTCATAATTTATTTTAAAATAAATAAAATAAAAATATTAAATGATAATATGATATACTACGTACAACGAATAAATAAAGTAACAAATTTTATCACAAACATAGGAAAAAAATATAAATTGTAAAAAAATACAAACAAACCGTGCAATGCACGGACTCCATCTAGTTACAATTATTTAAAAAGTCTTCATGGTGATTAAAAAATCCCCTACAAAATGATCTAAGCTTTAAATTATATATTACACAATAAAATATAATTGATAATATTATGATTATAATATAACTAACTTTTAATTTGGATATGTTCATATCTTTGCTCAATGTAATATTGTAATATATTCCTTATAAATATAACGCCATAATGGCTTATCTCTATTCTTTAGGAGACCCTCAATTATATTAATCTAAGAGGGCCGGCCTAAAAACAACACAAACACACATAAAAAGGAGAGAAAAAATTATTGTCTTTTAATTTGTGATTAAATACAATGGTGAGGTTTCTTATGTGCATGGTGACTCTATTCCGTACTGGATTGCTGGTTTTGGATTTCTTGGAAACATTGGGAGTGTGTTAGTCATCACTAAGTAATTAAGCTCAAAGATGGCGCACGGTACGTGCTGTAGATGTGGTGGTGGTGATATGATGTCGACGATGGAGATGGAGACGAAGATGGAGAGGGAGGAGTGTGTGGCGCCCGTGGTGGCGGAAGTGTTAGGAAAAGTCAACGCCGTTGGTTGTGTAGTCTCTATCTATCCTACATACTCTTTGATTATTATTTGGTGTTGTATGTTGTAATTTTGTAATGTAAGTGATAGGTATCATATGTAAATAATACACTGCACCCTACTTGCTATTTTATCTATTTTGTACATAAAATGATTGATAAAATTCATCTATCTATTTCATAGTCAATTATATATATGGATCTTTATTTTATCAATATAATTATATTATTGATCTAAGACTTTATCAATGTCTAAAAATTTGCTGAACTTTCAAAGAAGGTAACACAAATCTATTAAGATACATTACTTTTATTTATAATTTAATATTAGTCAACAACATATATATGATGATATGTAAGAGCCCATATATACATAAAAACTAAGGAAGGAAATAGAGGAGCTAATTAATTAAGTGTGATAGA